GTGTGTGAATGGGTGAATGACTGAATGTAGTGTAAAGCGCTTTGGGGTCCTTAAGGACTGAGTAAAGCGCTATACAAATGCAGACCATTTACCATTTACCATACACACCTTTTTCCCCCAACTGAAAAAGTATGATTAACTAAGTGCATTTAACATGCGTTCTACTGCAGGGCGTTCGTCCAACATGTATTTCCAGACGCATGACCAGATCGGTATGATTGGCACAGGTGCCAATCCCATGTCCTCCATGAACATCCCGATCCCCTTCAACCTTGTGATGCCTCCGATTCCTCCACCAGGATACTTGGGACAGGTGAATGGACCTACAGCAGGTGAGAAAGTCATACATTTGTCATGCTACCTCCAGTTTCTCCTTAAGGCAGCTAGGAATTGTTTGATGGAATTTTGTTACCCGACTTGATCTACGAACAGGTCGCGGTGGCGGTCTAAAGGGCAAATCGGGCAGCGGAGGAGGTGGGGGAACTCGAGGTGGCCGTCAAAGAAACCGTGGAAACCACAGCGGTGGAACCGACCGCGGACAGCATGGAGGTCAAATGACTACAAGCCAGACTAGCCAGGACCAGGGCTCCCAGCCGTTCTCCCAGGGCCCTCTGACGCAGGGCTACATTAACATGAGCCAGCCATCACAGATGAGCCAGCCTGGGCTGTCCCAGCCTGAACTCTCCCAGGTTGGTTTGTTTATCTGAAAAACTGTTTCTGACCTAGTCCAACATTTGCCCAGATTTTCTCTTAAAAACATGTCCAAGATTTCTCTACTGCATGGAAGGAAATGAAGGAATAACTGTTGACTGATCTCTTTTTGTTTGTCCCGTTATAGGACAGTTACCTTGGAGATGAGTTCAAGTCTCAGATTGATGTGGCTTTGTCCCAGGATTCCACGTACCAGGGGGAGCGGGCCTACCATGGTGGTGTGACTGGACTGTCCCAGTACTAGACTGTAAGATATTCCACTGTGGGCTAAGATGACTCACTAAAATGAAAGGCGTAGTTCAACTTTTTTGATTAAATTATGCTATCATGAGCTTTTAACACATAGGTTAGCACTAACTTTAACTTTGAACACGTGCCAGAGCTCGATGTGCTGTTGTGTGGGTTTTGTTTCGGTTGGTTGTTGGTTTCTCCAACTTTTTATTTAACATTTAAGAGACTTGGATTAATTTCAGAGTCTGATACAATGTGTATGTTGTAGTGGACTGAAAAGCTAAATGAATATTCTCTGAAACAAGTGTGTTTGTCTTGCAGGTTGCAGGAAAGGAGCTAGGCCTGTGTGAAGCTTAGTTCATTGGTATTTTAATCTGGGTAATAACAAAAAAGAACAAACATGGATACCCGTTTTCCACTGCTACAACCGAAGCACCACTGTGTGAAAGTAACAGGAGAGAGACCGTGAGAAACCAACCAATCACAAGAGTGAGAGTAAAAATGGGAGTAGAGCTGGACAGGACGAGAGCAAGACGGAAAGAGTGGGAGACTGGTAGAGGAGAGAAGGCACTGCTGCTCACACGCGAAGACATAGCAAAGGAGAAAGCTGTTGTCCTCGGAGCGGCGCAGTTGGGAGAGGTGAGACCTTCATCAGGTCGAGGAGGGCGAAAAGATCTGAGGCATTCTGGAGGGGGGAAAGGGGCCGACTGCGTCATCTTGTCCCTCGCGTGCCCCCGAACCCTCGGATCTCCAGGCGGTGTGGTTGGGATTCTTGCTCCAAAAGCTGAGAAAGAAGGAGAAGAGGTGTCTCACACAAGTCCTCCAAGCTAACAACAGGACGTCCACTGTGACTTGGAGTGAGAGAGAAAAACAAATGGAGACGCAGCTCTTGAAGCAGTTGACATGGCAACCTTTTTAAACTCAAAGCTTGAATCGAGGTTCTGCATTTGATCACATTTTTAAGCAACCGGGAGAAACGTTTGGCATCTCAACAGAACTCAGAAATGCTTGTGGTGCTGTGCCTCAGAAGTTTAAAAGAAATTTGAGGACTAACCAGTTATGGGTCATTTGCTTTGCTTTCTCAGCTTTGAGTTGGAAAGTTTTCTAAATAAAGGCTGTTTTCATTGAGGGTTTTCAGTGACGCAAGCTAGTGTAGTTGGCCATCTTTCAAGGCGGGTCTTTCCCTAGGTGGTCTGCAAAGAACAAAGTGGTGGAAGAAGCTCTTAAATGTGTAAACGTAAAAAAGAAAAACATTTTTGTCTCCAAATCTGAGCTCCGAAGGCCTGCGGATCGTGAGATAATTTTGTTTTTGTTTTTTGTTTTGTTTTGTTGTTCTTCTTTGTGTCTTTTTAATAGTGCAAAAGGACGAGTGAGGGCACTGTAACCAGCTTGTAACTGAATAAAGCTGTCATTCTTTTCTGCTGACCCCTCCCCCAAAGCTGCTAAAGCTAGCAGATAGCAGTCGCCAAGCACATATAGCTGAAAGCGCCTGATAAGCCGAATCAAGAGGGCAGAACTTCCCAAAGAGCCTTGCCCTGAAGTCAGACGTCATAAAACATGCAGACGGTGAGACAGAGGTGTAAATGGTACATGTGGTGGAGTACTTGACATGAATGCTCACTGAAAAGGAGGGTGAAAACATGTAAGGCTCAACTGTACAACGGACAACTTGGTTTCACCACGTTGGACACAGATGTTTTGATGATGCATTTGAGAAGTCGACCGATGACACATTTAGAGGTTACGCATCTTAGGTGAAGTTACCTTCAAATTACGAACACATGTAACCCAAGTTTAACATTTATGTAGATAAGCACCCCCCCACCCCCCATTCCTCTTGATTTTCTTTGCTTTTTGTTAGTCTTTAACCTATAGAAGAGTGTGAAACTGTTAAAGCAGTAGTACAATCATGTTGAGGACAGAGCAGTTAGTTTGGTCTATGATGAACTTTGTATCTCTGTTTCAGTACTCGGTGTTGTAAGTTCTCGTTTCGCACTAGTGAAGCTTACATCAGTATCTTTCACCGCCTCATGTTATCCATGTGATGCTAAAAGCTTTCCTTTTTATGTTGTTGAATCCACGATACTGAAGAACTTTGTCATTTTCTGAGCGGTAATGGCTTCGGATTGTCCACTCTGAGCCAAAGCGTCTTTTAATAATTTTAACATCCTGTTGTAGATGCTAAGAGGGCAGAGCGTGTGGTGAAGATTGCTCAGGCTGCCAAAGAGAAAAGGCATCCACAGGAATGAAACCTGCGAAGCGTGAATTATTGTTTTTTCTTTAATGCTACAATAGTCAAGTTAAGTAGGTGTGTCTTTATGCTGTGTAGGACATCAAATTAATAGTCTCACCCCATTTATATATCTGTAGATTTGCTCTAAATTATTCTTAGACTCCACATCTTCAACTTTGAAAACTGCTCTGCTTTACCTTTTACATAAAAATCACCAACATATAAAACATCTCAAACCTACACGTGGTTTTTGCACGTCTTATGAACTGAGGCTAACTTTTGAGTTCTTCCTCTGTACTTTTGCTGTGACCTTGTTTGGCTTATTGCTGTTTAAAGCTGAAGTGAACAATGTTTTTATGTTTGCTGCACTGTTTTTTTTGTTTTTGTTTTCTTCCCACTAACTGATGTTGGTGCTGAAAAAGTGTACTCACAAAAAGAAAATCTTGTGTTAATAATCTTGGAAAATTAAAGTTTGCTTCTTTTTGCTCATTCAGCTTGATTTGAGTCTTTTATTTCTCCTGTGAGCTGAATTACTAGCATGTGGAGTTCTCTTTAATCTGCTTAAGGGGGCAAAACAACAGGAGGATTCTCATATTGCAAAATCTCATTACACCAATAGGTCCTAAATGGGCTGTTGCACGACTCTTCACTTCTTTTCTTCTTCTTCTTCTTTTTCTTTTTTAGGTCAAGGCAGACCTTAAAGCTCTGGTTTGCACTGCACACATGCAGGCTCGTTGACATAGTTTCCATACCTGACTGTCACACACAGCTGGAGCGGGTGTTTGGAGGCTGCAGAGCCAGCAGGTGGTACTATACTGCCGGCTGTTGAATGCGAACAGCCGGCCGGATGAAGAGCCAACAATTGAAGGGGAGAACAGAGAGGTTTGGCCGTACAGGATAAGCAGTGAAAGACGAGGAAACAAAGAGAGGTCCCGTGTTCTGTGGCAGGACGAAGATGTACTCGGAGCAGCCCGCGGTCACTTCAGCCATTGCCGTCCGCAGCAGCTCTGCTCTCCCCGGCTTCTGACTCTGCGAGCTGCTCGGGGCAGGACGGTGCCACTTGGCGGGCTGCAGCAGGCGGAGTGCAGCGCCTTGCGGTGAAACCTCCCCCCCCTGGAGAATAAAGCAAGAATAAAGCATCTGGTAGCTGTGACTGAAAGGAAGAGGAGACCAACTGGGACAGCAGGAGCAGTTTCAGGACGCAAAATATTGTTAGATAACAGACTTGACGAGGTTTTACACCGAAATGGGGTAAGCGCTTCTCTATCCATGACACAGATTTAACTAGACTTTAAGTAAGAATTAAGAGCGGGGAAAATGTTAAAGTACAGGGACAAACTTTTATGATTATTCCGGGTTTTTTTCTGGTATAATTTTTTATTATTTACGTTAACAGTTGTCTAACCAATCCTCAGTCTTTTCTTTTACAGAAAAGAAGTCTTGGTGATCTTCTAAGATGTTTCCTCACCACAGAGAAAGGTATGGCCATCTACCAGCTTGTCCTTTTCTATTTCTTTATTTTTTTTCACCCAGGCATTTAGATTTCTTGTACTTGCATGTGACATTGGGATGGCAGACACTTTACATAAATCTAACACAAATACTTTGAGATCTTGTTATCAGATCAGGGGGACTTAAGCTTTGATTTAAAGCAATCATTTGTAGTGAGTTTAAAACTGTAGTAGTAAGGCTGCAGATGAACATTTATCACTGCTCTGCTGATGTTGGCTGTGGAGCACATCTGGAGCAGCGCTCTGGTTTCATTTCAGACTTAATGAATCTGTTAAATGAAGACATATTGTTATGTAGCCCCATGTGGCCCCAGCTTAGTTTATTTAAAACCATTTTCAGCTGATTGGGAGGAGAAGCATAGACTCTGGGGCCATCCTAGGGGAGCAGGTGTTACCATGACAAAATCCTACTTTCACTTACGTTAATGTAGATATTTCCTATTGCTGCCTCACTCCCTTTTTTATTAATCAGACTGTGTAGTGTTTAACATTTGTCTTAGAAGATTTAGATCAAAAGAAACCAGGTGAAACAGATTTTAGATATTTCTAGTTGGTGACAGAGGTCAGAGCTACGCCTCAGGATGAACACACTAATTCCTGTCTAATCACTCCCAGGCTTTGTTATCATGCTTAGAGACCTCCATTAAGTAGGCCACCCCCTCTACTGAGGATGAACGTCAAGTAATTGAATTGTTCTGCTGTTCAGTTAACAGAGGGGGAATAATTATTTGATCCCCTGGTGAATCACTTCATTCGACAAGAAAAATAAACATCACATAAAAGTTATAATTGATTTGCAGATCAGTGAGTGAAATTCTTGACTGCTGCTATGCAGCTTGATGCTTCAGCTCCCTCCAACCGTTTTCTGTAAGATTGAGGTCTGGAGCCTGGCTGCACCACTTTATGACCTCTTCTTTAGCCACTCCTTTGGTGCTTTGGCAGTATCCACAGTTTCATGGTACATGGCCCCGTCTGTTTCCACCTCTGTGCTTGTCTGTAGAGGATGGTGTTCTTTTAGTCGAACTCAGCATTTCTCTTCCAAAGAGCTCGATATTGGTTTTCTCGCAAACCTTCTCTAAATCGAGATTGTCACTGGCAAACTGAAGACAGAGGTGTGCACGTGCCTTCTTGAGAAGGGGAACTTGCAGGTGCTGCAATATTTCAATGTATTGCATCATCCTGTGTTACCAAGGGTGTTCTTGGTTACTGCAGTTCCAACTGCCTTCAGATCGTTAACAATCTCTTCCCGCTGATCCACCACCTTCCTCAACAATCATCCTCCGCCCATTTGTCAAAATCATGCATGCAGCTCCAGACATAAGGTTTTTGTTTCATATTTTGTCTCTATTAAAATGCAGCTGCCATGAAAACGACACTGTTCATTTCTTTCAGCATATACATACACTAGTTTGACCACCTTTGTGTTTCAAACGTTTTCTGTGAGAGGAAACTAAACATGTTGACACAAACACGTTTGCAGCCTGTGTTTGTCCGTTTGGTTGATTCCTGGTTCGTTCTGTTTGCAAAGCGGTCCGCGTTGTTCGGTCGGATGCCAGATATTATGTGGCAGAGCTCGTCACCTCAGGCAAGGTGAAAGCGTGGCAGTGATGGGATGATATTAGAGTTAATAGCAGGTCCACCTTCACTCTTACCCATTTTATGTTCTGTGTAAAACTAGCACTTTATGATTGTTTGACGTCAATGACCTTATTGACTGACTCGTGGGCTTCATGGAAAATAAAGAATAACATAAATATGACAGATTATTTGATGGTCCATTGACTTTATGATAACTGGTTAGTAGCTTTATTCCCCTTGGGCTTAAATAATGACCTGTTTTTACCATTTTCTGCAGAGGTCACAGCGGGCTGACCTTTATGCTGTTTCCTGTCTTAATCAGGAAGCATAAAAGCCGCAGGCAGCAGAGTTAAAGTGACTGAAAAGCAGAATTACAGCATGGGTTATTATCAGACTGGAACATGGTTGAAAGGGTTAGGCTTCTGCTGCTGTAGCCCATCTGCTTCAAGGTTAGATGTTATGCATTCAGAGATGCTCTTCTGCATAACTTGGTTGTAATGAGTGATTATTTGAATTAATGTTGCCCCCCAGGTAGGGTCAGAATTGAAGCAGGCTGGCCATTCTCCTCTGACCTTGGCATCAACAAGCTTAGTCGATATTTTCAGACCATTCTCTGTAAACCCTAGAAATGATTGTGTGGGAAAATCCCAGTAGATCAACAGTTTCCGAAATACTCAGACCAGCCTGTCTGGCACCAACAGCAAAGTCCCTTTTTTAAGCACCTTTCTCCATTCTGATGGTCAGTGTGAGCTATAGCAGGTTATCTCAACCATGTCTACATGAAATGCATCCAGAGAAACCATTGTTGGTTTTTGTATTTGCAATGAGGTCACTGCACCAAGACTAGCCAAAATAATGCAGTTCCACTGGAAATAGCTATAGTGCGTTAAAGAATACTTTTTTGAACTATTTCATTATTTTACTACATAGCAGCTCTTCTGATTTGCATTTCTATACCAGTGAATGACAGCAGCGTCTTCTTGTGATACTCACTTTCACCCCTGCTAAGGAGAAAAGAGGGGTTAGCAGTGCTGCTGCTCACACCACAGGGCAGTGGCTAAACCACCTCCTGGCACCACTGACTGTGTTGCTTTGATATATTTACCTCGTATCCAGGATACATCGGAGCAAAACCTGCCAGGCGCAGATCAGAGCGTGGAGGGTGACGACTCGGGAGAGGGTTCAGAGAGTTCTAGTCAAAAAGCTTTGCCAGCTAACCCTGTTTGACTGGTGGATGACGCAGGAAAAATAGTGGGAGATAGCCAAAGGATGATCTGTCCCTGGATGACAGGGGAGACAGAGATGTCCTGTTATGAAAAAAAAGACAGATTTGTGTTTTTCATGCAAACAAGAAAGGATTTTTAAGCAAAACCGTTTTATTAATGGACCATATTTTAATGGTTTGATGCTCATTTTATACATTTAGACTTTACATTCAGTTCCTTCAGTGCCGGTGCACATTACCGTAAGTCTGCAGAGGGATTTTTACTTTGACATTCCCTTCTCACAGCATCTAATCTTCATCCCTCTGTGATTCCTCCTTCAGGGAGCAGCCGATCTTCAGCGCCCGGGCCCATGTTTTCCAAATCGACCCCACCACCAAGAGGAACTGGATACCGGCCAGCAAGCATGCTGTCACAGTGTCCTTCTTCTACGATGCTACCCGCAACGTGTATCGCATCATTAGCGTGGGCGGGACAAAGGTGAGTTTTAGATTCAGCAAAGGAGACAGATTAAAGATGGACAGGAGGAGAAACAACAATAAGCAAATACAGATCTGCTGTCTAGAAGTAATAAATAAAAGTTGATGGCTTTGGAATCAAAAGGGGCTTTTGAAATAATGCCGCAGGTCTAAAAAAGCAAGACAAACAGCAGCTTCAGATTGAATTTTTACTCATCAACCACACTCCCATCAGAAGTCCTGGGAGGTGAAGAATTATATAACAAACTAAACCAAATCGAAGCTCAACACATCAGCAGCCAGAGCATCTTTGGTCTGGGCTTGTGGATTTAGATTAGGCGGGTGGGGAGGAGACCCATCTGATCTCATCTTAGCACCTCTAGTGTGACCCACATTTCTGCCTCCCAGAAGGCAGCGCGAGGCAGCAGTTGGCCGTTCAGTAGCCCAATCCTGCCAGGGCTGGTGTCTGGCTCCACAGTAATCTTCTCTGCCACTGCTGCTCCTGCTGCTAGAATCCAGCATGTTATGTCAAGCACGTCGGCACACAAACGCAGAGCGCAGAGTTCATGTAATCATTGGTTGGAGGGGAAAGGGGTGGGGGATGCTTCTTCTTAAGCTGCCTGCAGTTCTAGTATTTTCAGTTCCATTACTCTAACACAGGAAATGACGTAAAATAAAAAAGGTTTATAAATAGGTGTGTTTTCCTTTTCTTTTTTTTT